AGTTGTGCAAATGCAATCCATGAGAAAGAGTGCCTTGAAGGTAGCGTAATATACGCTTGAGAGCACTCATATGCTCATTAGTGGGAGCATGCATGTGTAGGCAAATTTGTTGGACGGCATAAGAGATGTCAGGCCGAGTGAAAGTAAGATACTGAAGGGCACCTGCAAGGCTGCGGTACTTAGTCGGATCAGCAAAAGCAGTAGCACTATTAGCACTGAGTTTGGGCTTGGTGTCCACAGGAGTAGGACATGTGCTGCAGTTAGACATGCCAGCACGTTCAATAATTGTCTTAGCATATTGTGTTTGAGATAAGAATAAACCATGGGGATGTCGAGTGACAGAAATGCCTAAGAAATAACTCAAGGGACCTAGATCCTTCATAGCAAATTCAGAACCTAAGAGAGCCATAAAATACTTTCGAAGACGATCAGATGAAGCTGTAAGTATAATGTCATCCACATATAACAACAAATAAGCTATATCAGACTTATTCCTGTAGATGAAAAGTGAGGTATCTGACTTACTGTTGGTGAAACCAATTGTAGCAACATATGCAGCAAAACGTTGGTACCAAGCCCGAGGAGCCTGTTTTAAACCATACAAAGATTTCTGTAAAAGGCAGACATGATCGGGATACTCTTTGTTACGGAAACCCATTGGCTGATGCATATAGACGGTTTCATTGAGATGACCATGCAAGAAAGCATTCTTGACATCCATTTGGTGAATGGGCCAAGATTTTGACAAAGCAATGCTGAGAACAGTTCGAATGGTTGCTGGTTTCACCACTGGGCTAAATGTCTCATCACAATCGACTCCCTGTTGCTGTGTATTGCCATTACCTACAAGTCGAGCCTTATACCGCTCAAAAGAACCATCAGCATTATGTTTATGACGAAAAATCCACATAGACCGGATAACATTCACATTTGGTGGCCGAGGCACTAGTACCCAAGTCTTATTATCAATTAAAGCATTAAATTCATCTAACATTGCATTTTTCCAATTTTGATCATGTAGTGCACTAACCGGAGTTTTTGGTATGGGGGAGATATTTGGAGTGGTTGCTGTGTGAAAATTAGAGAAATATTTTGGATTTGGTTTGAAGATGCCATTTGCCGATCGGGTAGTAATGCGTTGTGATGATGAGGGGTCAGTTGATGTTGGATGAGGGATGGTAGATGGGTTTGAGAGATTAGGGGAAGTGGCAGATTGAAGTGGAATCTCTTCAATATTTCGTGAGGAGGGAGGAGAGGAATGTGTTTGAGTTGAGGAAGTTGGTTGGGAAAGTGGGCTTGGAAGATTTGAGCTAGCCAAGTTCACGCGTGAAGAAGTAGAGGGAGAGCTAGATTGGGCCGTTTGAGTGTTTTGTGGAAGTGGGTTGGGAATGGTGTTTTGTGGCTTTTGATGAATGAAATATGGAAGAGATGCATCAAAACAATCAAAATCAGTTTCTTTGGGTTTATGAACTTTGGAGAAAGGGAACTCGTTTTCAACAAAGCGCACATGACGACAAATAATGATTTTGCCACTTGATATTTCATAGCATTTTGAGCCTCGATGATTAGGTGCCGGTCCAAGGTATACACATGGTGTAGACCGTTCTTGAAGCTTATTAATGGTGGTAGAAGGAAATAAGGGAAAACACAAACAACCAAAAGTGCGTAAATCCGAATACGAAGGATTACCTTGATATAGGATTTGAGTTGGTGAAAGGTAGTTCAAGACTTTGGAGGGAAGTATGTTAAGAAGGTATGTTGCCATTGATAGAGCATGGTGCCAAAACGAGAGTGGCATAGAAGCATGATGAAGAATGGTGCGAATGATATTATTTATGGACCTTATGTGTCTTTCGGCTTTTCCATTTTGTGGAGATGTGTGTGGGCATGAAAGACGATAAAGTAAACCATTATGATCAAAGAACTGTTTGAGTGTGCCATTAACATATTCCGTCCCATTATCACATTGAAAGGTTTTGATGCTACGTTCAAATTGCGTTTTTACTAGAGCATGAAAGGAAAGAAATAAGTGAGGTACTTGTGATTTCTTGGCAATTGGAAAAGTCCATAGAAATTTGCTGTAGTCATCAAGAAAAAGAATGTAGTAACGGTGACCAGAAGTACTGGCAATAGGTGAAGTCCAAAGATCACTATGAATAATATCAAATGGCAATACAGTATATGATGAGGAATCATAAAAAGGAAGTTTGACATGTTTCCCAATAGGACAAGAAGAACAAAAGCTTTGACAAGCCTTATTACATTCAATGAATTTATTACTACGTAGAGAATTGATAATAGCATTGCCGGGATGACCTAACCGATTATGCCAAATATCACGAGACATAGTAGTGAAAACTGAAGGATTGGATAATGTGGCTTGAGATGGTGGAAAAAGAGGATATAAGTCCCCAACACTGTTACATCGCATTAGCTTTGTCCCTGTCTGTAGATCATGAACAGAAAAACCAAAAGGGTCAAACAAAATTGAAACCCAATTGTCTGTGGTAAATTTACGAACGGAGATCAAATTTTTAATGAGTTTGGGAGCATGTAATACGTTGTTGAGGAGAAAAGGGGGATGAGGAGGGGGTAAGTTAGTGCGACCATGACCAATAATAGGAATTAAATGACCACTACCAACGACAATGTTATGAGTTTTATTGCTGGAATTGAAATAAGAAGAGAGAATACCTGCGTCCGACGTCATGTGAGATGTTGCACCGGTGTCCATGTAGTAGTTTCCATCTGGTTGAGAGAATGATAAGGCATGCATGGCGGCTTCAATGTCAGTCGGTGTATATGTAGGAGTAGGAGACAATGAGGACGAAGTCATAGCATTGAAAACTTGTGGTTTGGGTCCAAGTATGCCATGCCCAGCTGAAGACTTTGGAGAAGCATAATTGGGCCGAGGCTGCCAAGGCTGGGTAGGGAATGGACATGGTGGGATAGTCCACCCTCCCCAACCAGGCTGCCATTGTGGCCAAGATTGCTGGTGCTGATGTGTCGGCCAGGCCTGCTGTTGACTGGGCCGCCCAGAAGGTTGGCTTGCATGCTGCCCCGAATTTTTATATTTTCCTTTGCCTTTGTTATGGTAACGAGGCTTAGGATTTGTGGGACTACCATTGCTGGGACGTTTGGGTGCAGAGTCATTGGAGGCAGCAAGCATGGCTGCGGTTTGGCGTTGTCCAGATCCAATTGATTCGCGAGCGAGGCGAGCTTTTGTAGTTCGCTCGGCCATTTTCAACCTTGAACGACAACTATCGAATGATGGTAGTGGTTCTTGATTTTGAATAAAGTCAACGGTACCACTATAAGCCTCCGGCAGAGAACCTGTAAGACGCAGCACTAACCTCCCATTAGTTACCGGTGCATCAACGTCCGCAAGCCGATCTGCAATTGATTGAAGGTAAGTGCAATAGGCGTCGATGGAGTTGTGATCTTCGAAGGTTGCATTGGTGAACTCTTCTTCGAGATGGGTTGCGCGGGAAGCCTTGTTGTCTTGAAATAGAGCTTCGAGACGTTTCCATGCTCCTTCGGCAGTGTCGTCACGTCTGAGAATGGCAAGGAGAAGGTCCGGGCTGATGGTGCCGTATATCCATTGAAGGATGGCAGCGTCAAGACGCTTCCACATGGCTGGATCTTCTGATTTCGCAGCAATGTATGCCGCGTGGACAGAGGGTTCTGTGGGTGGCACAAGATGATCGTATAGATCATGAACCCGAGTCAAGTTGGTAAACAACGCAGCCCAAGAGTGATAAAGTGCCTGCTCGTTGTCTAGAGTGACGGGTACAAGCAATTTCACATTAGAGATGGTGAGGGCGGGATGATATTTAGGTTGTTCGGCCATGGTAGTAGAAGAACAAGAGAAGGAAAGAAAGAAGGAAGGAGACGCAGAAGAAATGGAGGTTAGGAAGAACCTTAATCTGATACCATGTAAGAATGTGTAATCCGTGTCATTTCCATTAGCAAGGATGTCAATAAATACATGATTGTACATGATTGTTATGCTACAAGTTAGGCAAGAATCAAGCTACCTGTTTAGCTAATTACAAGGAATTATGATTGACTTTCCTATACACAATAACTAACACAATAACTAATTGATATGCCAAAGGAATATGCTGATTATATTCTAATAATATGTGTGTCTCTTTGTAATTATTTTCTGCCATTTATTTGTTTTGTTGCTCCTTCTTGATTTTTGCAAGTTGGGGGAATTATTTCCACTGCGTACTTTGGTACGCTTGATTATTCTGTTGTTGTTTCCCTATCAAGGATGAGGGAGAGGAGGGCTAGCGTGGTGTGGCCCTTGCAGTCGGAGAGGCCAAAGCGGGAAAGGTTGGAGAATATATTCTCACAGGCCTTTACAAATACATTTTGATTAGTTCTCAGATCGTGAGAATCACGGGCGTGATTTGGAATCACGACCGTGATTCTCACAGACTTTTAACACCGTTTGTGAAATTTGGACGGGAATCTTACATTGAAGTATTTTAAAATAATTTAGGACTAAATTGAAACTAAAAATTAAAATAGGATAAAGTTAAAAAAATTTAATTTTATAAGAGATCAAATTAAGATTTTAGCTTAAATTATTATGATTTAATATCCAAGTTATATATTTAATTTATTAAAAAAAAGTATATTTTTTGTGATTATTGTGTCTCGGGCGATTATCATATTAATTTATGTGATTCATGTATAGCCATATTTAATAATAATTTTTAAATTGTATGACATTGATCACGTGGACATTTGAACCTCTTATCTTTTATTTTTTATAATTATATAATCAATGTAAAATATTTATTGATTTCCATGTCTGCCGAGTCATCTCTACTTTTTGTTTTTTTTTATCATAAAACTCAAACTAAAATCTTATTTAAAAAAATTGAATTCAACACGTTGATTTTTCATTTTCTTTTTTAAAATAAAGTAATTTATACCGACAATAAGTTTGATTATTTTAATTCAACTTTGATCTGTTATAATTTAAATTATTTTTCACTGGCGCACACTGGTTCACAGAATCACGTGATGATGATCTGTAATATCGGTTCTTGCATTAATTTATTATACATTTAGTATGTGTTTATTTTTTTTTAAATACTGTATATATTAATAGTAAAATATATTTTCTTGTTAAAAATTATACACTGTCATTTTTTTTTCCTTATTTGGATCCATGAATTTGTACACTTACGAAGTATAAACCATTTATCTTTGTGTGTGTTCCCAGAATCCCAAACCACTATTGTTGCTAAAGAATGCTTGTCGGAGAAAGAAAAAGTTGGGAACAAAAGCTAATATTATTTGTCTTACTAACAAAGGATTAAGGACATATATAAAATTTAAAATAATTTTTAAGGATGTATTAGCAATTTGTAAAATTTTATTAATATTAGATATACTATTGATTAAAGGTAATTAATCTACCCTTTTATTATTTTATTATTGTATTTAATGGTTGTGAATAATGGTCCACCTATAGACCATTTAATTGGTCTTCCACGGTAGAATTTATCCTTGATTTTAATATTAAACAAATTAAAAGCTCAAAGAACAAAACTAAAATAATTAAAAAATCATCTGTTTATAGAGAAGTCATTTGCTTATAACTTAAGAGAATCTCAGGTTTCAAAAAAAAAAAAAATCATATACCATCGCAATAAAAAGGGCATTCATATAGCTTTTCGTTCCTTAATTCCTTTTTTCTTTGAACTTTCATCGTTTCATTCTTCCTTCGGTTGTTTTTGTTTGTGAGTGTACACGCATGCTAGCTTTCCTTCGACGCTGGATTCCACGATGGAGGATGTTATCTACACCACCCTGACGGGATAGCAATTCGTTCATGGTTCGTTCATTTCCCATATTTTACTGTCATATCTCAATTTGACAATTTCCTTTCCGTTTCTATCTCTATCTTCATTTTAATCGGTTCACATATATCGGTTTTCCAAGTTTTTAACGAACGGATTCATTCCTCGTGGGGTAGCGCTTTCGTTTATGATCTGTGTTTCGAGATCTGTTTCCCCCTCCCCATGCGTGCATGCTAGTTTGAACTTTAGGTGTTTGAAATTAATGTAAACCTAGAAAGACCAAATTTTGTAGTCGAGCTTTTCCTTTCATTTACTGTGTGGTGTAAAATTGTAAAATTGATTGTTGATTCAGTAATGATTGAGGTGCTTTTTACTGGTGGAGTTGACAAATCCGGTGTCTTTTTCTGACTTTTATTTATAGTTGGACACTTTCAAGCACTTGATTCTATATTTGGTGCTATCTTGAAACTATATATTTGGTCCATGTGATGAAAACTATTTTGCTGGGTGCAGAAATTGAGGACTGTTGCTGCTAATAGACAAGCTTCTATGGGGGAGTTCACCGAGGGTGAGTATGTTACTGTCGGTGAATTACCTTCTCCAAGGGCAAATCACTCGCGGAAAGTTTCAGTTCTTCCTCTCGTGTTTCTCATCTTCTATGAAGTTTCAGGGGGTCCTTTTGGGGTGGAGGATACTGTGAATGCAGCTGGTCCTCTGTTAGCCCTCCTTGGATTCTTGCTTTTTCCATTGATATGGAGTGTTCCCGAGGCTTTGATTACTGCTGAGATGGGTACCATGTTCCCCGAAAACAGTGGTTATGTGGTTTGGGTTTCCTCTGCATTGGGTCCCTATTGGGGGTTTCAGCAGGGTTGGATGAAATGGCTGAGTGGGGTGATAGACAATGCTTTATACCCAGTTTTGTTTCTTGATTATCTGAAGTCAGGAATCCCAGCTTTAGGTAGTGGTTTGCCTAGAGTTGTTGCAACATGGGGTCTCACTATAGTTCTCACTTACTTGAACTATAGGGGTATGACCATTGTGGGATGGGTTGCTGTTTGTTTGGGTGTTTTCTCGCTCCTCCCTTTTGTAGTTATGGGATTGTTGGCAATTCCAGACATAGAGCCTTCAAGATGGGCTGTGACAAATCTAAATGATATTAACTGGAATTTGTATCTGAATACTCTGTTTTGGAATCTTAACTATTGGGACTCCATAAGTACTCTTGCTGGAGAAGTGGAAAATCCAAAGAAAACTCTTCCAAGGGCGTTGTTTTATGCTGTGATCTTAGTAGTTCTGGGGTACTTCTTTCCTCTTCTTATTGGTACTGGTGCTGTTGCTGTCGATCGGCAGTTGTGGACGGATGGCTACTTCTCAGATATTGCCTTGATTATTGGAGGAGCATGGTTGAGATGGTGGCTTCAGGCTGCTGCCGCAATGTCAAACATGGGAATGTTTGTTGCTGAAATGAGCAGTGATGCTTTCCAGCTTCTAGGGATGGCCGAGAGGGGAATGTTGCCTGAGTTCTTCGGCAAGCGATCTCGCCACGGAACACCTCTCATAGGAATCCTCTTTTCAGCTTCTGGTGTGATTTTACTGTCATGGCTGAGCTTTCAAGAAATTGTAGCTGCAGAAAATTTCCTGTACTGTTTTGGAATGATTTTGGAGTTTATCGCATTCATTCTGTTGAGGATCAAACATCCCAACGCCTCTCGGCCTTACAAGATACCAGGAGGAACGGCCGGAGCAATTCTCATGTGTATTCCTCCTACAATATTGATTTGTGTCGTGTTGTTTTTCTCCTCCGTTAAAGTAATGGTTATAAGCCTTATTGCTATGGCAATTGGCCTTGTGATGCAGCCTTGCCTCAAATATATGGAGAAAAAGAGATGGATGAAGTTTTCCCATAGTTCTGATCTCCCTGCTTTTGGGAATCAGGAGGATACTCGCTCTTTGGTGAATTAATCTGTGTTGTTTCAATAATACGGAGAGGATTTGCTCGTCAAGGTCTTTAAGCATGCAAGTTTTAAATTCTCTGAACACGACCACCATAGAACGGAAGCTTTGTATCATCCTACACCTTTGGTAATTCAGCTATTTGTTTATGTTTTTAGTTTGATCAATAGATGGCAATTAGAAACGTGGAAGCTAGTATTTAGAATGTTTTGAGAAATGCTATTATTTGTTATAAGTAAATTCTGTTATCAATTGACAAGAAAAAAATAAAGATAGTGACTTTTTTCTTTAATTTTAAGTTGTTTGGATTTCACAAGTAATGTTTGATAGAGAAGCTTCCTTTGTTGGCTTATTATATGTTTGTTAGAATGTTTGGTAAACGTGCTTTATAGAATTTTTTGAAGAGTAATAAATTAATAATATTAACCCCGTTATGCACATTTATTTTATTTCACTCTTTCTTTTTGTTATAAAACATGTTATATTAATCGAGTAGCAATAACATTTTTCTTTTAAAAGCTCGTTTAGGGTATTTTTATCAGAATTTTTTAAAATTATCAAGTGAGTTTAACCAAGTTGTTTGAGTAAATTCTATAAAATTTGACTACAATGGAAAAAAAAATATTTAATTCACGCACGTCACTCAGAAATTCATTTCAAAGCATGCAGACGCACCGCGGGGTCTACAGGGATCAGAAAGAACTAACATTTTAACAAGGTTGGATTTGGTTGCAGTGGAGACGAGAGAATTAGAAGAAGAGTAGGTTTAATTATTTTTTACAGTATAGTTTTATGAATTTTACTCTTTGTTCATACAGTCAAAAGTATTTTATTTAAGTTTTTATACATACTGTTTTTTTTCATTTCTAAAATTATATAAATTTTACTTTTAAGTGTTGATATTAAATCATATCACTCATAACACGGATTAAAAGAAAATGAAGTATATAAAGAACCTAAAATAAAATTATTTTAACCATGAGAATTAAGTGATAAGTAAAGTTTATGAAATTGAGACAAGAAGGTAAATTAATTAAATGATAACACTTGTAGCACGGATTAAAAGAAAATGAAGTATATAAAGAAACTAAAATGAAATGATTCTTAACTATGAGAACTAAGTGATAAGTAAAATTTATGAAATTAACAAAAAAGGTAAATTAAACCATAAAAGTTCAACATTAACTACTTATTTGGAGACAAAATGAGGAATTTATTTTCCAAAATAAGATTCATAAAATCTTGTCTCACAATAATCTTTAATTTGAGAGGGAGTTTTTTCTCTCGAGATAATTGTGATTTTGTAACTACCTATTATGATTCTTACACTTAACGATTCATCTTTATAAAAATAAATATAAACATATGTACAATAATCCATAAAACTATGAAATTGGAATTCTAAGTGTCGGTCAAACAACTATTACTAACTACCATCACTCAAAAGTAGTATCAAGTTACATGCCAATAGCATGGCTCCCACAAACATCAGCATCCAACCTATTTTTGTCTTATTTTCTTGTAAACATAATCATCGTAGTTCAATCACGGAGAAAACATGCAATGGTAAGTTAGATTTTAAAACAATTAACATATAGCAAATTTAAAAGTAAAAATGACTATACTAATTATCAACATCAACATGTAAAACCAACAATGAAACACCTTGTGGTTCACAATATATCAATACACCAAAACATCTCAACATAGCATCAACAAGTTTGAATAACTCAAACACATCAAACTTACACTACAACCATGCCATTCAACAATATAATCACTAAAGCATATGAATAACACCAAAACATATCATAGGATATACTTACACCTCAACTAATGTGTTGTTACACATTTGTCTACGAATATTTCCTACACCAAGATGAGTAGTATGAGTGACTTGACTCTATCAAACCAACCAATCTTTTTTACGTCTTACACACTTTCTAGATCAACAACTAATTGAGATATCAATCCATACACATGATTTTTTGGATGTTGTCACTTAAACTAAAAAAGTCCAATACTACTATTAGGTATAACATAACTTAGGTATGAGCCTACCACAACATTGACATGCATTAACAAAGTCAATTAAGGGTTGTAGTCCTCAATTTTTTACCTTACTCCAACGTTGATTAAGAATCTAGAATACTTAACAGTCCACCCTAAGAGTTATCGTTTACTCAATGAAGATTTTTCAACAACTAGTCTCATAGAACGTTAAACCAATATCCACACTATGGATATCCAACTTTGAAAAACATATTCTTCTCTTATCTTAAATTAATCAATATATTTTAATATTTATAACATTCCCAGCATCAACACCTAAATAATCGTCATCTAAAAAAAATACCTCATAATTTCATGTATTTTTGGTTGATAATATTTTTTTAAAATAAGTGTATTTTGTAATGATAATTTTTTGAAAAATATGTAGAAAGAGAGAATAGTTTGAAGGGCGGTTATATTATAGAGACAAATTATCCAAAAAAATCTATATACTAAATGGGGCGTTTTTTATTTTTATTTTATATTTTATATATATTATTAATAGTATAGATGTTAATTTATCCACGTATATAATCATTGAAATTTAAAAAAATAATTTTAATATTTTAAAATATTGTTTTATTTATTTATTTTGAGGAATTTATTCTTTTATTTATGTTATATTTAATTTTAACAATATTTTTAACCATTTAACTTTTTTATTATTCCATAATTATGTTTATAAATATAACAGACAAATAGCATTTAAATTGAATTAATTTTCAATAAATTATAAAAATACTATTTTACTACAATTATTAATGAAAACGAAAAAAATCAGTATTCATATTATAATTATAAAAACACTACTTTACTATATTTATTAATAAAAACGGAAAAAAATTTATCAGTATTCATATAACAAATCAGTTTAAATATATTTTTAATATGTATAAATATGATAAAGTTACTTTTAAGCGTTATAAGAATTTTATTTATTTTTACACTTTTTAATTTAAAAATATATGACCTGATTTTAGTCTAACACCAACAGTTTATGCATCTCCCACGACGTGTGAACAAATGTCTTTAACTGTTACGTTAATTTATCAGGTTATTTAATATTTATAATTAGTAAATATTTTGCAAATTCAAAAATTATAAATTTAAGAAATTAAAATAATTTTTATTGAAAAAATATATATCTTTTTATTTTGATCTGTTAAAATTACAATGATGACAAAAAAAATTTAAATATAGAATTTTGTGAAAATAAAAATATTAATTAAATACAAAGTTATAAACATTTAAATATTTTAGTTTTAAACTATCTTAAAATTAATTTATTAGTAAAATATCATTTAAACAATATTTTGTTTTTGTATTTAATAGTAATTGAACTTAAAAAATTAAAAAACATATTTAATTGAATATCTCATTGAAGTACTAAAAATCAATTTCGTTTAATATAAAAAAAAATCATAGATGATGTTAAGTTAAACGATAAGAATAAGAAATTATTTAAACCAATTTATTTATTTTTACCGATTTTGATTTGATTTATTTAACCCCTTTTCTACTTTCTAGTCCCCACCACTAACAGTCATTTTCAGAATTCGCTTCAAGATTTAAATACTCGCGCCAAGTTAACCGCTCAATCTCATTCATTCTGAAATTCGTGGCAACAGAGATGAAGAAAACGGGAAAGAAAACCAAGCCGACGGTGGCGGATCTTCTGAAAACACCGTCTCCGGTGGCTTCTCCGGCGGAGGATTCCCCGAAATCGGCGATTTTCACGAGAGCGGCTTCCACCTCCAAGGCCGCGAAGAGAGTTCCTCTCCCCACCAGCACTTCTCCGCCTCGCAGCCACAGGGCTCCGAGCAACATCTCCGACCTCAGGAACTTCGCCTCTTCCGGTGTCGACGATCTCAAGCGCCGCATCGATCGCTCTCACTCCGAGATTCTGAAGGATCTCGAGGCTTCTCACTCGCGAATCCACAAACGCTTCAAGGTTTCTTCTTTCGCTTTCTCCCTCACTTTTTTACAAACTGTATAACATTTCTGAGATCATTTAATAGCTTGTACTACGAATTCACTGAGATTATCAATTAATTAATTCTCGTCAGGTTGCTCGAAAACAAAATACATTAACAAAAATATAGTAACCGAAAATTATTCAAGGACTAGAATACATGCCGAACGTGAATTCGAATTCAGTGGTTTTATTCAAACTTTTCGCCAGCCGTACTGATTGTCGTAGAATATTCACATTATTGCCTCTCGCAGTTTCTCTAGTTTAGGGGAAAATGGAGAGAGCGTAAGTAGAAAACAAAATCTTAATATTAATCACTCTGTGGTTGATTTGATTAACGAAACAGCTTTAGTACTTAAATCTGTAAGGAGTAAGAAATTTGTTTTAATCGATATAATAAATCTTTGATTGATGATTAATAGTCACTTCACTTAACGTTGTTTGTGTTTTTGAAAAATTTAGATGCAGACTCAAGCATATCAGCAAGTAATGGATGAAGCGGAGAAGGAATACAAAAAGGTTTCTGAACGGATAACGGAAAGCCGAGATGCAATGAAGGTGTTTTTTTTCCTTTCCTTCGTCGCTGTCTATTTAATCTATCGTTTGGAAACACGATGAGAGTCTAATGGTTCTTTCTCAGGCTTCTTATGAAGAATTCATAGCAGAAGCACAGGCCAGTGCATCTCGTGGTATGCATAGTACAATCAATTCCAAAAAATGCTTTTATGCTCTGATTCATGACTATTATTTGAGATGTGGTTGTAGTTCATTACAGGCTCCTTGTTCAATATCTTTGTTTTGAGATGTGTTTACTCCTTAGTATGGAATTTGAGTCCTCCACACACACACGCGCATATATATCCTGCGTTCATTTGTTAGTAATTTTCGTTTAAAAATTTTCAGCATGCAAAACTTCTATCGTTGAGCTTTCACAGTCGTTTGAGAAGGCAATTGACTCTCTTCGAAACCGTTACGGAGTTTCATCAAATTAGCCATCTGTAGCTAGGTAGATGCTCACGGATTGCTTTAAGGTAAGTATTATTTCTTTTGTGTCTCTCACAGTTTATGGGAATATTACACACTGTTGCTCCAATTTCATTCATCCAGCCATTGAGTTGAACAAATATTAAATAATGATTTCTCTCACAGTATTAATAATAATTTTATGTATGTTCTTTGGTTAGTGGCCCATACTAAAATTTGAAATGTTAATATAGAAGGGAGAGTTTTTGCGCAAACCAAAATTTGTTTCTTTTCAAATGAGAATGAAAAGGAGAAACAAAGTGTGAATTCGAATGAAAAACAAAATTATTATTGAGTTAATTTATAATATTAATTTTTTCAATTGGTAATTTTAATTTATCTTGTATCCTGATTAGTATTATTCTTTTTTAATTATTGAGAGCATATTTTTTTATGTTTATTTCTCATTATATTTTATTTTTATTCAAATGTATTTATGTTTATGTATATATAGAACGTGGTATCAGAGCCTCATGAGGAAATATGATAATATTTATTAATATTAAGTTAATATCTGTTATTATGAATTTTGTACTTTTTTGTTTGTATAGTTAATTTTTTCGCAAAATTATTTTGATCTATGTTAGTTTTAAAGTAACTGTAGCAGTAAGACCCGTGAGTAGCAGTAAGACTAATCTGTCGATGTTATCTTGAACCTGCGTCTAGATCGTTCTTCTTTAAAAAAAAAGAGTTTTATAATCCCAGATTCATTGGACAAAGATTAATTTAATATTAATTTGTTATTTTATGGAACCAGATGAGGGTAATGATACTAGATTTATTTTTATCATGAGTAGTTTTATTCGCTCCTTGTCTCGTCGTTTTGCGATCAAAGCCCCTTCTTCATCCTCTACTAATCACAATTTGCTTACTGAGCAAAGCTAAACTCTGGAAGAAATTCCCCCCAAAAACAATATCTTTGAAGAAGAAGTTTGCTTTGAGGATATCAACCAAGCCATTGATAATTGGGAAATTCCCAAAATACCCTTGGATGAGTTATACATCCTGGATGAAACCAAACATGTCTGTAGTTTTGATTACATAATTAAAACTGCAGAAAATAATATACCTCTTGACCCACAAGCTGGTGAGGAGTTCCACCTTCTTACAAAACAATCTGTTGCTGAGCATGCTAGGAAGTATAAATACCTCCATATAGGTTGTGTTCAAGTAACTGTTAAATCCTTAATTAGGGAAGGACTAAATGCTTCAATCTTAATGTGTCTTAGAGATATTAGGCACAATGACTTTCAGGATTCCCTTATAGGAACCGTAGAAACAAGTTTAGGACATGGTCCTGTGTACTTTAATTGTTTCCCGAATAAAACAGTGAGTTTTTTGGATAGGAATGTCTTAGATTCATTGTTTTTAAATATTAGATTACATGGATTAAATATGAAAGAATGATCTATCCTTGTAGCCCTTCTGTATAGAATCCAATACAAAGTCATGAACACTTGTAATTTAAGAGTTCTGCTCAAAACCAATGATAAGGAAACTACCTTGTTTGTTACTGACATGACAAAAGCAAATGTGGCTGTCCCTAAACTCATAAAGTGGGATGAGGTAGAACTTCCAACCTCATGGCAATTAGAAAGAGCAACCCCTACCTTACCTAGACAAACACCTGAATTCCAAGAAATTAGGCAGTCTGAATCAGGAAAGGTAGAGATTATTTTTGATAGGAGAAATTCCTTTTCCTGAAGAACCGAAGCTACGAGATCTGAATATACTTCTGCCAGAAGATCTTTTTTTGTAGCATCACAATCCAGTACAACTGTTATTCCTAGAATAATTATTCTGAATACTAACCTTCAAGGAATAGAAACAAATTCAGCCACCCCAAGAGCCGTTTACCAATCCAATGAGGAGGATGACCAAAAGTCTATCCAATCTCCAACTTACTCTTCCCTTAATGATCATTATGATACAATCTGAATTCCAAATTGATAAGGAAGCCCTCCGAAAAGAATTTTCTTTGGAGGAAAACCAACCCCAAAGATCTTGGTTTTTGAAAAATTATCAAGGTTTCAAGAGAACTGAGATTCAGGAGATTTACTATAATTTCCTCAATAGTGTTAAACTCAATATACCATTTCTTGATTGTTTCCATGCTTATACCATTAAGAAAAACATATATTATCCCTTCAAACATGACCTTATAGGAGAACATTCTACAAATGTGGTTACTGTTTGGCACCTCAAAGATGGAGAAAGAATCCAATCCGAACTTCCTCCTAAGACCCAATATCAACTCCCTCAAATTCGGGATGACAAGAACAATCCTGTGCTAGCAGCACCCTTTAAGACCAAGGATGTAGATGAAAATCTGACCTCTAAAGACATTAAAAGTCTTATGGAACAGGTAAATTACACAAACAAGTACCTCTAGATTTTAGGTGACAAATTAGCTGTCCAAAAATCTGAATTAAGCCAGCCATCATCTATCCAAGCCACAAGTTCAAAACATTTAGAAAAACCCCTGTTTCAACCTTTCAAGCTTATCGATGAATCACATATCCTATTCCTAACAAAAAAGATCTTCTTAACCGTCTTTACTCGGCAAAAATCTTTTCAAAATTTGATATGAAATCTGGCTATTGGCAAATACAAATTCAAGAAAAAGAACGGTGTAAAACAACCTTTACTGTTCCTTTTGGGCAATACGAATAGAACGTAATGCCTTTTGGCTTAAAAAATGCTCCCTCAGAATTTAAGAAAATTATGAATGACATTTTCAATCCCTATACTAGCTTTGCCATTGTATATATTGATGATGTCTTAATTTTTTCCCAATCTATAGACCAGCACTTCAAACATGTTAACATTTTTGTCAAAATTATCAGACAAAATGGATTAGCTGTGTCAAGCTCAAAAATAAGTCTCTTCTAGACTAAGATCCGATTCCTTGGCCATATCATCCATCAGGGGGAAATCACACCTATTAGCAGATCCATTGAATTTGCTGATAAATTTCCCAACCAAATTATTGAAAAAACTCAGCTTCAAAGATTTTTGGGTTGTTTAAATTATGTAGCAGACTTTATTCCTAATTTAAACAATATTATCAAACCCTTGCATGATCGTTTAAAGAAAAATCCTCCCTCTTGGAGTGATAATCATACCACTTCTGTCAAGCATGTTAAACAATTGGTTAAAAACCTTCCTTGTCTGTCTTTACCTATTCCCCAAGCTTTCAAAATCGTTGAAATTGATGCTTCTGACCTTGGATATGGGGGTATCCTCAAGCAAAAATTAGGAGATAAAGAGCATATCGTGGCTTATACTTCCAAACATTGGAACCTGGCACAACAGAATTATTCAACTGTTAAAAAAGAAGTTTTAGCAATTGTTCTTTGTGTTTCAAAATTTCAATATGAACTTTTAAATAAATTTTTTTTAATTAGGGTTGATTGCAAATCAGCTAAAGAAATTTTGCAAAAAGATGTCAAGAACCTTGCATCAAAACAAATTTTTGCTAGATGGCAAACAATTTTAAGTGTTTTTGATTTTGACATTGAGTATCTCAAAGGCACCTCAAATTCTCTCCCTGATTATCTTACTCGTGAATACTTACAGGGGACATCGTCTGATGCCTAAGAAAGCAATATTGGCCTCAACTAGAGGCAGAGGTAGAGGTAATCATTTGGCCTTAACAGGGCCAACCCAATCTGCGGAGTCATCTACTCCATCAAACAAAACCCTTGAATTAATTGTGTCATTGACTCAATCCCAACCGAGTCAAATGGTTGAGTCATCTACTCAACAAACCCTCTTCCAAACACAAAAACAAACCAAGGCAGATTATGCCATCCCAATCCCAATTTCAACCCTACTAAATCTTCAGAGTCTAAACTCTATTCCAACCAAGACTTGGGCTGACCTAATGTCAGAAGAAGGAGAAGATAGAGCTATGAATCTTCTCATTGGTAAATTACCAGAAAAATAAACCCAAGCAATTCCTCAAAACCAAACTTTAACTCAAGCAAAAAAGCCCCAAACTTCTCAATCTCATTATGTCCCACAAAATAAGATTTCAGTTATTGCTCAAATGGAACTTGAATTTTGGGATAAAAACCCAAACAAAATTCCCCAAAACTTTTTTCCTGAGGGTTTTCATTTTAAACTTCTTGCCCTCAATAAAACGAGAAAGTTCTATGAGTTTATTTTGGTTGATATAGATTCTGTAGCAATCAAACATTATAAGGATCCAAAAGATCCTTCTAATATAACCCATACAACCTTCCAAATATTAAAAGTTTTAACTCCTAGCTAGTTTGGCCAAAGCCTGAATAATACTCAGAAATTTTCAATACTTTTTGACCCTATTGGGTACAATTATTGGGATTATATTGATGCTTGGACTAAAATATTCTGGTATTAAAATAAAATCAACCGTCACTCATGGCTTATCTATTTCAAAAGAAATGTTCAGTACAAGTTTCCAAAATTGTTCCTCCAATGGTGGGACTTTTGTGGTCCAATTGAAGAAATCGTTCCGATCCTAGCAGAAGAAGGTTTCAAGGTCTTTAAATCTATGTATGACAACCAAAATACATGGATCCCAACAGATATTCAATCTTTCTCAAGCTTCTCGCTATCTTGGATATTTTCATGGCAGTATAAATTTGGAAAATCAGATCACCCATTAAAACCTCCTCCATTTCAAAGGAACTCCTATGTCAAATGGTGGCCCCAATTTGATGCTAGCCAAGCAAGCTTGCAAGAAGTAAAAAATTGGTTTACCTCCAACACAAAATATTTGAAAATAGCTTACCCAGAAACTTCATTATTTCTCAACCAGAAAGCAAAAATCACAGCCTCATTGGCAGCTGCAAAGACCAAAGATAATTTTGACAAGAATCTTGAAGAAATCTTGGCTTTACTCAAGAAGGAAGGAGAAACTTCAAAGTCCTCCTTACCCAGCTTGTCAGAATCTATAGCATCTCTAGATGAGTTCTACTAGAATGAAAATGATTGTTTTGGAGTAAATCTAACAGACATCTAAAATTCTCAACAGTTCCAGTTAAGATACTGGTGTTGTACAAACTCATTTTCTGAAGGAACAGTTCCTGTCAAGTTACTAGCACTGTAGCTCATTAATAAACAGTTCCTGTCAAGCTACTGGTTTTGTAGAAACAGTAATTTTTAGTCTTTAAAAGGAGGCCTCGTCCATGTTGTGAGGTAGCCTTCAATTTAGCATATCAGATAGAGAGAGAAAGTCTAGAGAGGAAAGCTATGAGATACTTCTTTGTAAGCTTTTCTTTTAATAAAATCTGTCTTTCTCCATCTGCTTTCTTTACATTGAATCTATTTTTTGTTCCTGCATCTAAACTTCCAGTATTGTGCAGACTACTGTCGTGTAAACCCGGTCCTTCTATGTAATTTTGTTCTTGCATGTAAACTTTCTGATATTGTGCGGACTACCGCCATGTAAACCCGGTCCTTTTTGCATACCACATTCCTGTTACTAATTTTTCTTGTTCCTATCTCCTCTTCTTTTTACCCTCCTAGATCCACTTCGGGGACATCTGGATATATATATATATATATATATATATATATGAGGATTCAAACGACACCGATGTAACTTTTATTAAGTATTACACCGCTCAATATAACTTTATATTAAATATGAATTTTGAAAATCCAACCATTAGATTGAAAGTTCATATCTCTTAGATCATATATATCAAATTTTATATTAATCTAAGATGATTTGATACTTCATTCTCATAAAACAAAATTAAAGTAATATATACATTTTAAAATATACTAAAATATGAATACTTGATTACCTTCAAGTTGTTGTTCAATTTTAACAAAATTTGATATATATGATCTAAGAGATATGAACTTTCAATCTAACGGTTGGATTTTCAAAATTCACATTTAATATAAAGTTATTGAGCGGTGTAACACTTAGTAAAAGTTACACCAGTGTCGTTTGAACCCTCCTCATTTATACATATATATATATATATATATATTTATATATTTATATATGAATCGTAGATTAAATTAATGAATATTTAATATTTTAAAGTATTTATATAATTTCGTTAATTTAAGAATTATCTAGAAGAGGGTGATACTTTAGTGACTTAATTGATGATTTTTTCATTGGTTTCAATCGTTCTTAAACATTCACCTTTCCATCGTCTTGTAAATCTGTGATAAGTTATTGTTCTTGTAAAAAAGTGAAAATACTAAGGTATTGAAAAAAGAAAACCCATGATATATTTGGTTATTGTTAATGTAACAAAATCTCATGACCCTGTATATATCCGATGAAAAAAAAATGAAATATCCAGTTCATCTTGATATTCTAAATTAGGCTGTTTATGGCAATTGTGGCTTGGATGCAAGTAAATTTTCCAGAGCAGATTAGTTGTATTGTATCCATTGATTCGCGATAGAAAACACTTGCGTTTCGTTTCGTTTAATTAATTACGGCCATCTTAAGGCCCCGCTCAGGACCAGCCTCTCCGACGGAAACATTATTTCACAAAATCCAGACGTTTAGTTAGATAATTCATTATAATGCATTAAATGCTTAAAATATGTATAAATGGCGGCTTTAAAAGGGTATCATAAATGAAATAATATAATGAAATATTAACAGCAATTCTTCTTCCGTTTTTTCTTTTCTCTTTAAAAAATAGAGTGTAATTTATTTGTCCTCCCTCAGACGCGATTGGAACCTATCCAATAGTTCACACCACTATGCTCGAACACAAGAAAAAGAAAATGCACAAAAAGTCAATCCAAGATTTTCTTACAAGAATTTTGAACTGCCTTAGGTTTTATGTGTAATTATTTTTTAAAATTGGAAGAATTTTAAGTAAAAATAATATTTTAAAATATATGTTGGAGTTAATGAATTCTTCTGCATTAGCAGAAAAATAAAAACAATATTTTTTTTTTATCTCATTTTATCATATTTTCTTCTATTTATCTTTGTTTTTACTTTTCTTACGCATAACAACACATATTTTGTCTTTTTATTCTTATCTCACATATCTGCACCCTGATGCACCCACTTAGGTGGTGTGCTGTGATCATGACTCATAATGCAGAGCTATATATCCAACGTCACCAAAGCAAATGCACAGTGCAATAAGCTCAATGGCAAAATTACACATTGAATATCACCACCGCCACTACTCAGCCATTCCACTTCTTTAAAGAACAAAAAAATAAAATAAATAAAAAACTTAAAACATACCCAAAAAGAAAGAAAGAATGGCCACCTACACAGAAAAAATAAAAAACGAAAAGGAAAAGGAAAAAGAGAAGTGGGAGAAAATCAATCACAAACTGCGACGAGGAGGTTCTCCCTTCTTGCGAAACGCAACCTCGGTGTCCAACCCAAAGCCATCGACGCTGCGAACGTGAACCAAAGCGGAGTTTCTGAAGAGCTCGACGAGAGGCTGGACGCTGAAGAGGTCATTAGCGGAGTACTTATCGGCGCGCCTCGACAGAGCCACGTGCAGAACGCACACGCCGTCGGGTTTCAACGTGCGTTCGACCTCCGCCACGAACCGCTGCGGATACAGCGCGTGATCGAACACGTTGGAGAATTCGAAATCAAACGTGTCCTTACGGAACGGTTGATTATGAAAATCACCCTTCACCACGAGTGGCGGATAAGGAACAAGGTCCATTCCGACGGAGTCAGCCACCCCTATTCGCCGCAGCGCCTCCACCTCTTGCCCCACTCGTGCACCGATGCACAACGCCTTGGAATTGTTGTGGAGGAGTTTTTTGTCCTTAAGGTCCTCGAAGAAGCGGGAGAAGACGGGGATCTTGCGGTCCCAGTCGCGGGTTGTCCATATTTTTCGGAGCCTGGGGTTGAGGGTCTTGTTGAGCTGGCGCTGTATGTAGGCCTCGTAGGAGGAGTAACCCGGTCGGATTCTGAGGTCTTTGGTGGTGATGGGATTGTGGGGCTGTTTCGGGAAGAATAGGTAGAGGAAGAGGAAGGGGAGGGAGAGGAAGAGAGAGACCAGGAAGCACCTTAGGATGAATGGTTTTGTGACTTTCATGTCCGCATGCATCTCAATCACCTCATGCTACAGGGAAAAGAGACACCAGAAGAACATGTTCGTGGTTTTGCTATGTTTGGAATTCGGAACGTAGCTTGTACATTCTTTCGGCTTTGTGGATTTAGATGGATGAGGTGGGTGGGGGGGAAATAAAAGGGGCGTGGGACCACTGGACCGGGCCATGAAAATTTTCTGCAAAATGAAACCCGAGAGTGAGAGAAAACAAAAGAATTATTTACATTTTTTTAGGCACATTTATTATAATTGTGGGAATTTTTTCACCAAGATTTAAAAATGCGGCGTACGTAGTATATTTTGTCCGTTAGGCTTATAATTTTTTTTTTTACGTTTTATTATCTCATTAATTGATGTTGTTAGTTTTTTATATTAGCTTAAAGTATTTGAAAATATTCATTTTTTATCACTTACCATACGGTTAATCCATAAGATGATAAAGTGTATAAAATTTTAAAAATTAAGCTTTACAAAGTATTGTATAATTTAAAAGCTTAGAGGAAGAATTGGCAAAATAGTGAAACATTGTGAAAATATGCAATTAAATTAAAAGAAAATTAGAAAATATGAAGTTAATTAAGAGCGGTGATTCTAAGTTAACGAAAATTTCCGTTAATTGAACAGGAAAAGAATGGAAGATACGCCGTTTATAATTATTTCAATGACGTAGACGGAAGTACGCGTGGGCCGTAGATCGCATGCACTGAGTCAAGGTGGCACCGTTTCTTCCGATGCTTTTGTATGTTTTGTTAACTTTATGCCTCCCTCCAATTTTATTTTATGTTTTTTTTTAAGTCTATCTGCATGAATAATATTACAAAGTACCTAACGGGTAGATAAGTATAT